AGGATGAGTGACAGGTTGTCGATGTCTTCTCTAATTGGGACCATGAAAATTGCAGCACCGTCCATGAAAACTGATGTCCAAAATATAGTTCTCCGCCCTCTTATCCTATGCAGTAGGCCATGACGGGTGCCCAAGTCAAGAATCCGCTGAAGAGGGTCAATGGCAATGACAAACAACGGCGGGGATAGGGGGTCACCTTGTCGCAGTCACCAACCATGCTTGATAGGAGGGCCGGTGATGCCGTTTAGCAGAATTCTCGAGGATGAAGTAGAAAAGAGTGGTGATCCATTCCCACAACTTGCTTGGGAACCCTTGCCGTTGTAGGAGATCGATGATGTATTTCCATTTTATGGAGTCAAAAGCCTTGCGAATATCTATCTTAAAAAGGAGGGATGGATTGTGCAGTCGTCTCGCAAGGTTGCGCACGAACATGAAGTTATTGCGAATATTCATTTTCTTATGAATGCGCCTTGGGCATTGAAGACAAGGTTGTCCATATGTGAGGAGCAAGCCGGTTTGCAAGCACCTTGGCAATGAATTTTTGGTGATGTGAATGAAAGCCGGTTTGCAAGCACCTTGGCAATGAATTTTTGGTGATGTGAATGAAGCTAATTGGCCTACAGTCGGTGATGCTTTCCGCCCCACTTTACTTGGGCAAGAGCACAATGTGGACGGAATTTAGCCACTCCAGTTGTGAAGCATGAAGGCCCGAGAAGTGATTTACTGCCCGCATCACATCATATTTGATGATGTCCCAACAGTGCTTGAAAAAGGCGCTCGTGAAGCCGTCCGGGTCCGGAGCCTTGTCGCCAGGCATTTGATTGATTGCCTCTTTAATCTCATTTTCGGTGAACAGATCATCTAGACTTTGTACATCATGAGTTTTTTTTTTTCCTTTCGGGACAATGTATTAGTCGGTTGGCAATACTCCTACATGTTGGTTAATCAGAATGCTATCCAATCATATTACGTAACCATGACAATCTCATTCACCAGGGAATGACTTTCATTGTATCCTGAGTCAAAGATTCGTCAAAAAACACTATATACAAGTACTATTCATGCTATATTGTCATAAATATTTGTTATTTTCTCGCCGTGAAGTCAATGAGAATCATTCCTTTGGCCAAACTTTTACATGAATACAAATACTTCTTTTTTGCAGGGATGAATAGAAATACTTGATCATATTTGATTCCCAAAAAGACATGGAATTTTCTGACTTTCTTTGGAATTACTACTAAATTATTTGGCGCATACAGGGTGCGCTCACCAAGTTGGCTTCCGCCGAGCTGGGACCTCATGTACATGATCGTTCGGTCAGACTTTGGTCGCTTCTCCTCTTCCATTCCAGACACACAGCTCGGTCCAGCAGGATTGCATCTTCTTACGTAGAGACAGAAAAAGACATGTGTTTTCCGGATCTGCCGAACTTGATTCAGACTGGATCGCGGTCAGCCGTCGAAGGTTCAACGTCCTCCACTAGGCTTGGCAGACAGCCCGTATCGGGCACATAGCATTGAAAGTTCCTCCTCCGCTACTAGTAGCATGCATTTCCTTTTGCTCAGAGTCCGAGTAGCTTCAGTTAGTTGGTGTTTCCATTGACTCGTAAGTTGATCGGCGACGGGTAGCTATCTAGGAATGCTTGGCATGGCAGCTGCCATTTCGTCGAAAGGGGGAGTAAAGCCGCAAGGGAAGCCGCAGAAACAAGTGAAAAGCTCTAGTCTAGTACTAGTACACAGTAAAGGAAGAAGTTCGACGTTGAGGAAGAATTTCAGCGTTGAAGTCGTCCGTGCTCTGGTACGCACGTTCGCCTCGTTCCACCATCAGATTTCCGAGCCCGCGCGCCGTCGACTGTTGAGTGCCGCTGGGGTTTGATTTCGTGCACGGTAAATGTTGGCCATCCTATAGATAGGTGGCTAAATCTTGATTCGTTAGTTAATTAAACTACGGACGAATTGCAGACCACACCACTCCCTTCTTCCTTTTTCCTGCGATCAGAGACTGTGGATCACTCACTCGAGGCCACCGAATCCGTGGCGCGCACGATTCAATTCGGTCTAGTTAAACACACGGTCGACGCTAGCCAGCGTTCCAGTAGGATCAAGGCATGCACGCTACTAGTTTACGAGTAATTAGCTACTACCAGCACTAGTTACTTAGCCACCGGCCGGACGCCAACACGTCCACTAAATCCACTAGCACTAGCAGCTAGGGCGGTGACCCTATTCATTCGATCTGCTTAGTGGTTGCCTAACTGCGTGGAACGCACGGTACCACAGAAAATACAATGTGATTCTTGTGGCTGTAAAATCTCAACACTCTGGCGTAAGTGGACGTGTGGATCTCGTTAATTGAGCCTTGATCAGCAACCACAGTGGAGTTCGTTAGGTTCAGCTTTGCACCGAGCAAATGGGTTTAGTGCTTTTTGACGGCGCCACCAAATCTTCGAGCTAGGTATTTTCTACCGGGAGAAACTCATCAAGGATTCAAGGGATGCTGACTTGCTGAGTCAAGGAAGAGAGTCTATGGTCCCATGTATGCAATGTTTTCGAAATTGGAGAAACACTAAATATTCAAATAAGGCATGAAATGTCAGCTTCCACATCGGTAGAACTAACATGTCATGTCATGCCTTATTTGAATAAGGCATGAAATATACTCCTAAGTTTTGGCTAGATAAAAAATCTAGGGCATATGTTTTTTTTGAAAATGAAGGCGTGCCCCCGGCCTCTGCATCATGACGATGCATACAGCCATCTTATTAACAAGTCATAAAAAAGTTATAAAAAAGTCATAAAAAAGTTACAGCTCACAAGTGGAACGAAAAAAGAAAAGAAAAATACATGCTTAAAATCGCAATCGGTATGACAATGCAAAGGACAAGTTTCCTAGACTTCTATCCATCTGTTTTGGTTTACTCAGGCTCCAGGGCATGTTGTTTCTTTTTTATACTTGAGAGAGTGTTCTTGTTATCGCTGTTTGGGTTGATCCATGTACATCTGTGGTTGCTGAATCTTCTATGGGCTATTTGCCCTCCTCTTTTCTATATGCAATCTACATACAATTCTTTTGCGTGGTTCCAAAAAAAAAAACCGTGGTTGTACTCCTAACCACCATGGTTAAACCTCATGCTAACAGTACTAATTTCCTCTGACGTCATAGTCGTGCGGGTGTCAGTTCTGGAGTTCGACGGCGTGTCCGGAGACACGTTGCCCCAATCTGATTCTTTCAACGACAATGATTTTGCTTCACGCAAACTACTTTGGAGGTTCGTAAAGTTGCAGATCATCGATGGAGCCACGTAGAGCTCGGGTGAAGAGGTGATCCATCTGCTTTTCCATGGTGGAGAGGGATAGTCGTTGGTTTTTTGCATAGGATTATCCTATCTTTCCTGTCCTATAATGTCGATGTTTACGTGGCTTGTAACTGAATATTTATTTTCTTAATGAGACACGTAGTATCATGCAAAATAAAAAAAGGTTTTATCCTTTAAGTGTCTCATTTAAGGCATGCTATTCTTTTAGTGGAAAATGACTCCATCAATATTGAAACACCGAGACTCTAGTTTTTAGTAGATGATGTGTGAGTGTGATTCTCATGTATGTATGTCTATGTTTAACTATGTGTTCACTAAAAAACAAATATTTTCAACGAAAAACTATATTTAAATTAATTGGATGAAACATTTTGTAAAAATATTATTTCTATTAGAAGATTAAACATTTTTATGTAGAGAAAGTACTACTCCCTTCGACCCATGTTACTTGTCGCAGCTTCAGTGCAACTTTCCATTAAAGTTGTATTAAAGCTACGACATACTAGTAGAAAAATGACTTTTAGTACCGGTTCGTAAGGACCTTTAGTACCGGTTTTGGAAACCGGCACTAAAGGGTGGGGACTAAAGGTCCCTCCCCCCTAGTCCCGGTTCAACACGAACCGGGACCAAAGACCCTCCACGTGGCACGAGGCACGTTGATTTTTTTTTATTTTTTTTGGAGTAAAGCAAAAACGGCCCGCCTACTGGGCCGGCACGGCCTGCATACGACTAGAAACCCAACCTCTAGTTGGGCCAGGATGCATGCCCGTGCGGCCCAGTAGGCCCCACAGGGCAGAAGACTTGCAATAGGCCCACAAAGGCCTGCTTAGAGAGGAGCTCGACACGGTAGCCGCTCGACACGGTAGCCGCATCGGGGCTTATAAACCGGTGTGAGCTCCTCTCAACTAGCGAGGTGGGACTAAACATTGTGCACTGCGGGTGGCAGCGCATCACCTTTAGTACCGGTTGGTGGCTTCAACCGGTACTAAAGGGGTCATGGCCTTTAGTACGGGTCACAAATGAACCGAGACTAATGCATAGCCGTTCGAACCGGGACTAATGATACCATTAGTGCCGGTTCATTTACAAACCGGGACTAATGTGTCTCACATAAAGTAGTTTTTCTACTAGTGACATATAATATGGATCAAAGGGAGTATTAAGTTTTCTCCAAATCTAGAGAAGCATGATAAAGATGATACACAAAAAGAAGCATTACATATTCCCCTAAACACACACATTGCACATGTCCAATGAATCACAATACATGCATGCTGTTGTAATTAGTTAACCCACATATATTTATATTACAAGAAGAAGTGTCATTTGAATCCTACCAAACCAACCCATGCAAACGTCGCCTCCCCCCTGTAATGCATCACATGCATCTCCAGCTCGAGGGTTTGACTTGAGCAGTGCTTTCTTTCTTTTTTCCTTGGTTATAGTCGTCACCGCCATCCGATCGACCAACGTCCAAACGCGTTTCTTAATCAGGGACCCCAAAGTCCAGCCAACCTTCCAAAAACACCATGACTCCTATCTTGCACATACACGCACTGAATCTGCTTATAAGAGGCCGGGGCAGCTCGTGCAATCGCCATCTCAAGCAGGGACACTGCACTCGATCACTTGACACCCTCGATCGACGCTTGTTCAACACAGCCTGCGCGCCTAACCAACCATGGCGGCGTACCACCCTGCCGCGACGCTCTCCTTCCTCCTCGTGCTCTCACTCTTCCTCCTGGCCCGCTCCGACCCGGCGCCGTCCACGCCGGTGCCGCCGTCCACTGCGTGCAACGACACGACGGACCCCACATTCTGCCGGTCCGTCCTCCCGGCCAACGGCACCGGCAACCTCTACACCTACGGCCGCTTCTCCGCCGCCAAGTCCCTCTCCAATGCCAACAGGTTCCTCGGCCTCGTCAACCGGTACCTCGCCCGCGGCAGCCTCTCCGACGCCGCGGTCGCCGCGCTGCAGGACTGCCAGCTCCTCTCCGGGCTCAACATCGACTTCCTCTCCGCCGCGGGCGCCACGCTGAACACGACCAAGTCGACGCTCCTCGACCCGCAGGCCGAGGACGTGCAGACGCTGCTGTCGGCGATCCTGACCAACCAGCAGACGTGCGCCGACGGCCTGCAGGCCGCCGCGTCGGCGTGGTCCGTGCGCAGCGGCCTCGCCGTGCCCATTGCCAACAGCACCAAGCTCTACAGCATCTCGCTGTCGCTCTTCACCCGGGCGTGGGTGCCTCGCGGCAAGGGCAGGAAGCCGAGGCCGGCGTCGTCGTCCACGAAGCCGCCTCGGCAGCGCGGGAGGGGGCTGTTCGACGCCACCGACGACGAGATGGTGCGCAGGATGGCGCTCGAGGGGGCCGCGGCGGCGGTGTCGGTTGCTGGCGCGGTCACCGTGGACCAGAGCGGCGCGGGGAACTACACGACCGTCGGGGACGCCGTGGCGGCGGCGCCGAGCAACCTTGGCGCGAGCAGCGGGTACTTCGTGATACACGTGGCCGCGGGCGTGTACGAGGAGAATGTGGTGGTGCCCAAGAACAAGAAGTATGTCATGATGGTCGGCGACGGCATCGGCCAGACGGTGATCACCGGCAACCGGAGCGTGGTCGACGGCTGGACCACCTTCAACTCCGCCACGTTCGGTGAGTTGCTCAATTTAGCTTCCTTTATCTTTACTCTGCTTTTGGCTTCGTTTGAAAGTTTGGCCGTGCTATTTCTATAGTACTGGGTTGAAATGCACCTACCATTGACATGACACGACAGCCCAACATGTTCTAGAACTTCTGTTGTGAGCTTGACCACACTATCGTTACTGCCTTGCATGATGAACATGCTGCGTGCCTTACATTGCCAGATCATCCATCGACTAGCTAGTGCGCCCTAACTTTGAAGATTCGACCATGCAGCTGTGCTCGGGCAAGGGTTCGTGGCGGTGAATATGACGTTCCGCAACACGGCGGGGCCGGCGAAGCACCAGGCGGTGGCGCTCCGGAGCGGCGCGGACCTCTCCACGTTCTACCAGTGCAGCTTCGAGGGGTACCAGGACACGCTCTACACCCACTCCCTCCGCCAGTTCTACCGCGCGTGCGACGTCTACGGCACCGTCGACTACGTCTTCGGCAACGCCGCCGTCGTGTTCCAGGACTGCACGCTCTACAACCGGCTGCCGATGGCCGGCCAGAGCAACACCGTGACGGCGCAGGGCCGCTCCGACCCGAACCAGAACACGGGCACCACCATCCAGGGCTGCTCCATCGTGGCCGCGCCGGAGCTCGCCGCCAACACGGCCTTCGCCACCGCCACCTACCTGGGGCGGCCGTGGAAGATGTACTCGCGCACGGTGATCATGCAGTCGGACGTGGCCGGGCTCGTCGACCCGGCGGGGTGGATGCCGTGGAGCGGCGACTTCGCGCTCAGCACGCTCTACTACGCCGAGTACGACAACTCCGGGGCTGGGTCGGACACGAGCAGGAGGGTGAACTGGCCGGGGTACCATGTGCTCAACAGCACCGTGGACGCCGGTAACTTCACCGTCGCCAACATGGTGCTCGGGGACTTCTGGCTGCCGCAAACCGGCGTGCCCTTCACCATCGGGCTCAACTGATCCATGATCTGACTCAGTGCACCAGACATTACAACATCAACATGTGCAAGAAAAATATACTGAAATAGCTAGATATATACAGTGAATAAAGTTCAAAAATATATAGTACCACGGAAGCAAATGCTTTAACTTATGGGTCTTCCAATTCTTACGTGTAGAATTGACAGATTCCAACTTATAAACTTATGGGTAGTAGAATGACATTTTAGTCACATTTCCCTTGTTCGTCCGATTACATTCTTGCACCTGGTTTTGTCTTCTGTTGAACAGAAGTCACTGAAATAATGCAAGTTGGAGGAGCCGAGATAGAAACCTCGACACGCCTCTCGGGTGGCGATTGCAGAGGCGATCGAGGCGGCGACCACATCATCGGCGATGATCACCGCGCGGGCGACGATCTCCGCATCGATGCAGACTCTCGCGTAGGCGATGACCACCGCGCGGGCGATGGACACCGCGCGGGCGTCACGAGGGGGGAAGTGAGCCCCTGGAGAGGAACGGCGACGACTCGCCGGGCGACGACGGCGAGCGCTTGGAGGACGAGGACTGCGTCGACGACAACTGGCCGGCCTTGTACATCCCAAATCTGCTACATGCGGAGATTCTGCAGTATAGAAGAGGGACTATCATCATCCAAGGTAAGATCCGACGAATTTTGCTGATAGATGAGGAAGAGAGGATTATTGACAGTCGAGGTCTGTGGGATCGGGAGGAAATTTCATGGAGCTCGGTGATTCGGTTGCCATGCCACGTGGCTCGAATGGGAGAGGAGGCGGAATTGGGTACTGTGGGCGGAGGGGGGGATTCCGAGGAGGGAAGACGCCATGAATGCGGGAGGGGGGGGGGGAGGTGGGAAATAAATCCCCCAGCCCCGGAGGCGAGTCGACTCACTCGAAACAAAAATCCCCCACTCCCCCTGAGGAAGTCCTGGATAAGGGGGTATCCGGACAGCCGAACTATATACTTTGACCGGACTGTTGGACTATGAAGATACAAGATTGAAGACTTCGTCCCGTGTCCGGATGGGACTCTTCTTTGCGTGGAAGGAAAGCTTGGCGATTCGGATATTAGATCTCCTTCTCTATAACCGACTTTGTGTAACCCTAGCCCCCTCCGGTGTCTATATAAACCGGAGGGTTTAGTCTGTAGGACGACAACAATCATACCATAGGCTAGCTTCTAGGGTTTAGCCTCTACGATCTCGTGGTAGATCAACTCTTGTAATACTCATATCATCAAGATCAATCATGCAAGGAAGTAGGGTATTACCTCCATCGAGAGGGCCCAAACCTGGGTAAAACATCGTGTCCCCTGCCTCCTGTTACCATCCGCCTTAAACGGACAGTTCGGGACCCCCTACCCGAGATCTGCCGGTTTTGACACCGATATTGGTGCTTTCATTGAGAGTTCCCCTGTGACGTCGTTGTAAGGCTCGATGGCTCCCTCAACCAATGCAGTCCAGGGCGAGACTTTTCTCCCCGGACAGATCTTCGTGTTCGGCGGCTTCGCACTGCGGGCCAACTCGCTTGGCCATCTAGAGCAGATCGACAGCTATGCCCCTGGCCATCAGGTCAGGTTCGGAAACTTGAATTACACGGCCGATGTCCGCGGAGACTTGATCTTTGACGGATTCGGGCTTACATCAGGAGCGTCGAACAGTCACGACGAGCACGACCTAAATCTGCTGTCGGACAGTATTCAGGATATCGCCCCTGCAGCTGCTCCGGACCTAAATCCGGGGCAGATCGCGTCGTCCAAGGACGGGTGGATGGACCCCGCCACGGAGGCTGCATACTCTTCGGTGGTAGAGCCGAACGCAGACTCCGCCGTTAAGGGAATCTGCGTCACCGGACCCCCTGACCTGTGTCCGGATGAGGGTTCCGAACTGCGCGCGCCCGGCCCCATCGAGTCCGATTGGGCTCCAGTAGTGGAGTTCACCGCCGCGGATATTTTTCAGCACTCCCCCTTTGGCGATGTGCTAAATTCATTAAGGTCTCTCTCTCTGACAGGAGATTCCTGGCCGAACTATGTCCAGCCCGAGTGGGAAGCAGGCGACGAAGAAATTCGTTACCCACCCACAACCCACTTAATAGCCACTGTCGATGATTTGACCGACGTGCTTGACTTCGACTCCGAAGACATCGACGGTATAGACGAAGATGCGGGAGAAGAACAGGAACCACCGCCCACAGGACGCTGGACAGCTACCTCTTCGTATGATATATACATGGTGGACACCCCCAAAGAAAACAACAGCGATGAGGCAACAGAAGATAACCCCTTAGGGAAGAAACCAAAGCATGGGTGTCATCGGCGCCGCTCTAAGCCCCGCCATAGCAATACCGGCATAGGAGAAGACAACAACCCAGATGGTGCCGAAGAGGAATACAACCCTGATCAGCCTACCTTTGAACAGGCCGAACAGGAATACGGGCAGGTCAGCCCAGAGGGACAGGCGACGGACGGATACGTAGAGGATGACAACTATATGCCTCCCTCCGAAGACGAGGTGAGCCTCGACGATGATGAATTCGGTGTACCCGAAGATACAATAGAGCAGGAGCACTTTAAGCGTCGGCTTATAGCCACTGCAAGAAGACTGAAAAAGAAGCAGCAGCAGCTCCAAGCTGATCAGGATCTGCTCGCAGACAGATGGACCGAGGTCCTGGCGGCCGAGGAATACAGACTTGAGCCCCCCACCAAGGGTTACCCAAAGATCAAGATGCTACCTCAACTAGAGTAGGAGGCCATAGAGCCTATAATACCAGCACAAGACGAGGCTGACCGGCCACCTCGTGGCCGGGATAAAACGGCGTATTAGGCTGAATACCAGCCCGCACCCCCACGCCAGTTCACCACGGCCCAGGGCAATACGCAGGACCCGCGAGACATATTGGAAAACAACGCAAGACAACCAAGATCGATCTACATATAACGGGGGCGCGCCACAACGCATGACGATGACCGTCATGCTGGATACACCAATAATAAGTCCAGCCAGGCCGAACATAACCGACCAGACCTAGTCAGAATGCGTCATGACATAGCCCGACATAGAGGCGCCGCACACCCCCTCTGCTTCACCGATAAAGTAATGGATCATGAATTCCCAGAAGGGTTTAAACCCGTCAACATCGAATCATACGATGGCACAACAGACCCCGCGGTGTGGATCGAAGATTTTCTTCTCCACATTCACATGGCTCGTGGTGATCTACATGCCATCAAGTATCTCCCCCTTAAGCTTAAAGGACCAGCCAGACATTGGCTGAATAGCCTGCCGGCAAACTCCATTGGCAGTTGGTTGCTAACTAAGAAGAACCAAATTGTCAACTGTTCGGAAACTGAGGCCCTGGCGGCTTTCAAGCATAATATCCGCGACGAGTGGCTCGCCCGACACCTCGGCCAAGAAAAACCGAAGTCCATGGCGGCCCTCACGACACTCATGACCCGCTTTTGCGCGGGCGAGGACAGCTGGCTGGCTCGCAGTAGCACCACGCCAAGAAAATCCGGCACTTCAAATGTCCACGACACTAACGAAAAGCCACGGCGCAATAGACATAAGTGTAACGCCCCAGATGTAACTTTCCATATTTGTATCCAACTCTTGCCGTCTCCGGCGCTAAGTTATATTTATTTCTCGGGTTGGGTCTTTGTCTTCGTGTGTGTTGTTATCGTTTTCATGCATCTCATATCAGGTCATCACGTGCATTGCATTTGCATACATGTTCATCTCATGCATTCGAGCTTTTTTCCCCGTTGTCCGTTTTGCATTCCGGCGTTTCGTTCTCCTCCGGTGGTCATTTCTACCTTTCTTTCTCGTGTGGGGATTAAACATTTCCGGATTGGACCGAGACTTGTCAAGCGGCCTTGGTTTACTACCGGTAGACCGCCTGTCAAGTTTCGGGTCATTTGGACTTCGTTTGATACTCCAACGGTTAACCGAGGGACCGAAAAGGCCTCGTGTGTGTTGCAGCCCAACACCCCCCAAATTTGGCCCAAAACCCACCAAACTCTGCTCCATGTCCTAGAGCGTTCGATCACGATCGTGTGGGCGAAAACCGCACCTCATTTGGACTCTCCTAGCTCCCTCTATGCCTATATATACACCCCTCCGTTTTCGGATCTCCCCCTCTCCCCGAAACCCTAAAAAAAAACAGATCAACCCCGCCACCGACGGACGTGTCCGGATCCGACCGGACAACGTCCGCCCCGCCGCCGCAGCGAGTCCCGCGCCGCCACGTGGCCGAGGCCCACATCGC